ATCATTTATCTATTTATTCTTAGAGCAAGAAATATGGATGGGAACAGAAATGAAAAATCAGACTCTAGTGACAGAAATTATCCTTGCAGGCCTCTCCAGTAACCCAAAGATGCAGTCTTTCCTCCTTGGTCTCTTCTCTATCATTTACATCATAACCCTGCTGGGAAACTTGATCATTTTCTCCCATATCTGCCCGGAATCTTACCTCCATACACCCATGTACTTCTTCCTCAGTAATCTCTCTCTCTTAGACATCTGTTATTCTTCCAACACTATCTTCCACCTGTTGTTGAACTTCCTATTTCAGATAAAAACTATATCACTGGTTGGCTGTGCAGCCCAAATGTACTTGTTTCTGGCCCTAGCCACCACAGAGTACATCCTCCTTGCAGTCATGGTATACGATCAATATGTAGCTATCTGTCTCCCACTGAATTACAGAGTGGTTATGAACTAGAAGACACGTGTCACACTAGCAGTGATCTCATGGGGCACTGGCTTAGTAGTGCCCATAACATTTACTATCCTGACATGGAGGCTGCCATTCTGTGGCCCCAATGTGATCAACCACTTCTTCTGTGAGATGCCTGCCATGTTGAAGGTGGTTTGCTCTGATACACAATTGATTGAACCGGAGTCCCAGGTGGGGCGTTTCTTCACTGTACTGGCCCCTATCACATTCATTTTTGTTCCTATGTGCACATCCTGGCTGTCTTTTGGAAGATGAATTCTTCCATGGGCAGGCAGAAAGCCTTCTCCACCTGCTTCTCCCACCTGCTCGTGGTCTCTTTGTTCTATGGTTCTGCTTTCTTCAGGTACATATAGCCCAGCTCCCTCCACACTCCTGTGCTGAACTCCCTTTTCTGCACTGTTCTCACCCCCATGTTCAACCCTGTCATCTACAGCCTGAGAAACAGAGAGGTCAAGACAGCCCTGGTTAAAATGCTTAGAAATGTCTATTTCCTGCAGATAACTGTGTGTGGGGTTTTCAAAGGCACCTAAGAGACATTACATAGAGTAATATGCACAGAAATGGAAAGAGTTGTCAGGTACGCATGAAAGAATAGGTGGTCATCAATAGGCTCAGGAGTGTTAAAAGGAGAGAGCATTAAAAAACAACAACTATGATTTGTATCTTACATTGTATTTACATTGCACCTTACACTATCCATGTGTCTTACGCTACCTAGTCACTGTTTATAGAATTGCTTCTTATGCAAAAAATAGATGTGCAGAACTGAAGTCAGAAACTATCTCTTCCTCCTGGCCCCACTTATTTCTCTCCCTTATCTGCCTTGAGGTCCAGCTTCAGCTGAAGGCTGCCTAACCTGTTTATTGTTAGCTAGAACACTGTACTAAGACATACAGGTTCAAACCCTTTTTGGGTGAGTGGGGTCCAGATCCTGGGCAGGTTCTCTCTCATTATTTTGAGTATAGTTTAATAACCTACATTCATGCAGTACACAGAGTAATGCAACTCAAAACTACCCATCTAGATCACTCCTGAGTGTGCGTGCTCAATAGTCATATGGATGCTTGCACATTTCCATTGCACATGGAGAAAAAACACAAATTATTCAAAGGCAGCAGAAATGGCTGAAAAACTGCCTTTTGGATTCTGGATTACTTCAGTTACATTTGGATACTGAATTCCTGTATGCTTCTTAATACAAATTATTGTTTGATCGCTTAATCTTACATTAAAATTTATAAATGCATACATTACTTACGGTTTATTTTAATTTAAGGCATCTATTGATTTTTTTAATTGTTCAGGGTGGGAGGGGGAGGTTGTGTGCATTTCCAGAGAAAAATGGCCATGATTTAATCATTATCTTTTTTTTTTCATTCTCATCTTTTTTCAGAATAGTTTCTGTTCAGTTGTAAGGATGTGACTCATGCTCATCTACATTTTGAAACTCAAATGCAGCATTCTGTCACAAAACCAGTGCATATATTAACTAAAGAATGGGTCCCAGATAAGTAGTGGGGGCACATGCACTTCTTCCACCTCAGTGTCAGGGACCCTAGATGTAAAGTTTCTCTGATCCATAAGTTCAGGAAGAAGTGAGGTCCTAAATATCCTGTCATTGTGCACTCTGTCTAATCAGCTGATATGTATGGGCACCTATACATATGTAGTAAGCCTGCTCCAACATGCTGTAATTACAATGCATCAGAGCAGACTCAATTAACCAACACAATATGTTGATTAATCGAGTTTCCCATAGACTCCAGTGCCCTGTATCAGTGTCTCCAAGCTGAAAAATGGTGGTAGAGCTGCTTTACCTAAATCTTGTTCAAAGAGCTTTAGTTAAAGCACCTCTGTCGCTATTTTTCAGTGCAGGGATACTGGTACAGCCTGCTGGTGGGACTTTTTCTGTGCAATCTTGAGTGCAAACTCACAACAATGGTTCAGTATTGTCTGCAGGACAAGGGCTACATATGGATCCATTCTGCAGACTAGCTGATAGTGGTGGGTGGCAGTGGTAGCTGCAGGTCACAGTGGGCAGAGTATCTTGGGTATGAGATGGATGGTGAATCCCACGAAAGTCCCTTCCACAACAATTTCACCTCTCTGTTCAGCAACATTCTGTTCCTATCCTACTATCTATTTCAGTTCATGCTAGTTGGGGTCCTGGACCATGACACTGAAGCTTTTCTGGTGAATATCACTGGATGCTTCTACACATTCACTAATGTGCCTTAGATACTGCAGATTTACTTTAGTACTTCATTAATAAAGTACTAACTAAATGCACAGTAACTAGAGTTACTGCACAGTAGCACCAGCACATGGACATTTGGTGACGCTTACCGCGCATTAGCCTAATAGCACTGTTCAGTAGGGCTGTGCGAAACAGCACCGTTCCATTTTGACTTGTGTTTCAATGATTCAATGGAACAGAGTTTCATTTTGAATTTTGTTTTGATTCAAAACTGCTGTTCTGTTTCGTTTCGTTGAAACAGTTTTGCTGTTTCAACGCTGTTTCGATGTTTCACCCATAGGCTATAATGGGGAAACATAAAACAGCCTATAACTTTGTCATTTCCAGCCTGATTTGGATGAACCTTGCAGAAATGGTATCCCCCTTCTGAGGGCATGAAGTGTGCCAAGTTTTAAAGAGATAGGAACAGGGGTTTGGGAGAAACTGCACCTCAAGCTGTGGACAAGCAAAACTCATGATATGAGTGACACTGTGTTTGTTAAGGCACAGCAGGGTGAAAGCTGCAGGTCTGCTAGCCCCTGTTGTGGCCATGAAGCCCACCAGCTGTCAAGGAGTTCAGTGCAGGGGTTTCAAGGAAACTGCACCTCAAGCTGCTGACAAGCAAAACTCGTGATATATGTGACTGTGTGTGTGTTAAAGCACAGCAGGGTGAAAACTGCAGGCATGCTAGTCCCTGCTGAGACCACAACACCTGCCAGCTTTCAAGGAGATAGGTGCAAGAGCTTCTGGGTTCTGGGGCCCTGCACCTCTGACTGCTGACAGGTAAAACTCGTGACATGGGTGCTTGTGGAACTGTGTCTGTCTTGGTGGGGGTGAAAACTCAGGCCTGGTAGGCCCTGCTGTGGCCATGAAGCCTGCCAGCTGTCAAGGAGATCGTTGCAGGGGGAGGCTGGGTTCTGGGGGCCTGACCTCTGGCTGCTGACAGGCAACACTTGTGACATGGGTGGGTGACACTGTGTGTGTGTGTTGATGTGCGCCCTCACTCAGCTGACACCAAGGCAGAAAGTAGGGCAGTTTAAACAATGCTGCCTTTGATGCAGTTTTTCCATCCCTCCCCCAGAGCAATGGGATTGGAAGGGACCTCAGGGAAGGATGATACTCACTGGCCAGCTACACGGTCAATAATGAGAGCAGTCCTTACTCCCCTTTCCCCCTTCTTCCCCCTTCCTCTCCTTACTTTATTTTCTGTTTCCCTGCAGGCAAGACCAGCTTGAGCTTTAAAACACGAAACATTTTGACAATTTTGAAATATTTTGACTTGCCTCATTTCATTTCGAGGCTGTTTTGAAGCTATCTGTTTCATTTTGATTTTGCTGTTTTGAGCTTGAAATGAGTTGAAACAGCTTTGAAACGAAACTGCTGGCAGAATTTCACACAGCCCTACTGCTCAGTAGGCTATTAGCACAGTTTTTGCTGTGACATGCTACTGCGTAATGTTATTAGGCTAATTCTCAGTAAGTGTCTTGTGTAGATGTGCCCAGAGAGAGGTATTTAGCTGTATTAGTCTGCAATGAGGCAGAAGCAGTCATGGTGGAACACTAGACTGGTTCAGAGAGGCTTTTACAAGTGGCAGCGTACTTTGTCAGATGCAGTCTCTAAGGTGCCACCCTGCCCTGCCTTCTGCTGGATGAATATCAGTTGGGGATGAGCCCTATGACTGAAGTTGAATTATGGACATTTTATACTTTCAATAAAGCTATAGTACTTTGATCTAGTTTAGGAAGTGGATCATTCCTTTCTATGGAGGTATGTTAGTGCTCAGTAAGCAAGTATCCCATACCCTCTTACTTGTCAATTCTTGTAACTATTCCTGTTACAAATAAACGGATTGGCAAAAACCTCATTTGAATTATGCCAAATAAAGATCTTGTCCAATGAGTCCTCAAGTTCTTGTTCTATCAGGATTACATTTTCTCTTAAAGAAATTCTTATAAAGAAATAAACAGAGTCCAAAGAAACTAAATGTATACCAAACAAATAAAATAACATTATGTATTCAGTATTTTGCTGAATAAAAGCCAGGCACACTTTTTAGGATTCATTATCAAACTTTATACCTCTGTTACAATTGTTCCTTCCTCAGCCATAGGCCTGATTCTACTGTGTGGGAAGCAAGTTTTAAATGTGGTATAATTACACTTATATCAAAATGAAACACTCCATTTTCTCTGGGTTTAATGGAAGGAAAGTGAATCCCATTGAATCCAGACTGTTATTTTCATTCTACCTTAAATGAAAAGGAAGATTACTATAATTAGTGGCCTGAAGAAATTAAGATGTGTGTGAAAACATTTTTCTTTCTAAGGTTCTTCTCAGTGCTCCTTTTACCTCATTGTTCCTGAGGCTGTAAATAATGGGATTTAACATGGGAGTGATGACTGTATAGGACAGAGACAAGAGTTTCTTGGTGTCAGGTGAGTAGCTGGATTTGGGTCGAAAGTAGGTTGAACTGGCTGTGCCATAGAAAAGCGTCACCACTACAAGGTGTGAGGAACAGGTAGAGAAGGCTTTGTGTCTGCCCTCTTTTGAGGGCATCCTCAGGATGGTGGTGATGATCCGAACATAGGAAACCAGAATCAGTAGGAATGGAAACATGATGAACAGCACGGTTGCTGTGAGGGCCTCTATTTCAAAAAGGTAGGTGTCAGCACAAGCTAAATCTAATACTGGGGGGCTGTCGCAGAAAAAATGGTTGATTCTATTAGGTCCACAGAACGGCAAACTGAATATCCATGTTGTCTGCACAGTGGATACTGGAAAACCTGAAAACCATGAGGCACCAACCAGCTGGAAACAAGCCCTTCTGTTCATAATTTCTGGATAACGCAATGGGTTGCATATAGCCACAAAGCGGTCATATGCCATTGCTGCTAACAGGCAGCACTCAGCAGCTCCAAAGAAAAAGAAAAAATACATTTGAGATGCACAGCCACTATAGGAAATAGTTTATTCTCTACCAAGAGATTGACCAACATTTTTGGAACGATGACCAAACTGAAGCAGATTTCTAAGGAGGACAAGTTCCGGAGGAAGAAATACATGGGGCTTTGAAGAGCAGAGTCCATGGTTGTGACAAAGATAATGAGGATATTTCCCATTAGGGTTATGGTATAAATAACTAGGAAGATCAAGAACAATGGACCTTGCAGATTGGGATGATTGCAAAATCCGATGATAATGAATTCTGTGACCGAGCTATGGTTCTGCCTGCTCATTATTTTTCTTCAGTGAGTTTCATCTGGAAAAAAAATATGCAGACAATATTGATAAAAGGCTTCATGTAATCATTTCTTTATATAGTAATTTGGAAAAATACATACCTAATTCACCATCTTGGTCCTTCGTGATACAGTAATAAGAATTATGGTTCTACAATTGATTGATGAAGTGACTATAATCCAAAACCACAGTGGCTCTCCAGCTTACCAGCTATGGAGCTTTCCAGAAAAGTATATATATATATATTTTTGGTTTGTTTTGTTCTGTTTTGTGCTGCATACTTTGACTATATATTTTCTGCCACCATGACTAATGCAGCACATGTGCTATGTACCCATATCATGATGGTACAAGTTTGCCACAGTTCACTTAAGGGTGACTATGCTTTTGTGGCATTTTGGTTAACATTGATTGTTCGCATGCTCCTGAGCCAGTCACATTTCAAGTAGCACTTCTAATTAGACCTAAGCAAAGAGCATAAAAATATAATACATAAATAAAATTTTAACTGATGTAGGAAAAAAGTGCATAATTCTGAATGGCCATTTGGCCACTCTTCATTAATACATGAATCCAGGGGCATAACTGCTGTATTAATGAAGAAAATCTCTTGAAGAAGAGGGTTTAAATGAACTAGGCAGAGACCAAAATAAATAAAACAAAATTATATTCTCTGTATATTACTGGGTGTAGCCAAGTGCATTTTTGGAGGATTTATTAGCACACTGACAACTTCCTGGAAACAATTGCTCCTCCTATCTCAAAAGACCTGATTCTTCCATGCAACACACATTTCAATATGGTACAGTTCCACTGGTATTAAGGAGTCATTTTTTACTTACACAGCAGTGAATGAAAAGGGAGCTAGCTCCATTGATCTGGAGGAGTTATTCATTTTTTACTTCAGGGCTTAGATTATCTGCTTACCTATCTTACTATTTATCACCAGCAGTAACTCTAAACCATTATGGTTAGTCACTAAGGGTAGTTCACTTTCCCTCCCTCTTTATTAAATAAAGTTTTATACATTTTGGAATGGTGTTTTAAAGCTATTTTTTCAGTTCTAAACTGAAGTGGTGCCTGCAACAAGTGGGCTGTTGTTATCATCATCTGAGGACCTAGGACATGTAAGAAAGCAGGAGTGCCAACTGTTCATAAATTTGAGGATGACCCATAAAAATGCAGCCTAAAAGCACCTGCCCATTAAGACCATAAGAAAAATGAAGATTCTGTAAAAAGCAGAAACTCTGAGCTCACTTCAAGATCTTTGTCAGAATGAAGTTAAATTCAAACCTCAGAGGTAGACACAGAGAACAGAGCAGTGCTACCTGGTGTCTAAGTGGGAGCACAGCTTAGAGCCCTGCAGTGAATTGTCTGTCAGGACTTTCTAGCCTACTGGAGTGTTTGCAGCTCCTTCTGCTCTCCTGCCCTAGCAAATGCTGCTACTGAGTGTACCAGCTGTCACTGAGTCAGGCAGGAAAGGAATGGATCTGTGGGTCTGGGAGGTTGAGGAGAGGTGGCAGGTAGGTGTCTGTGCTGGGATGAGGGGGTAGGACTGAAAGGGTCAGGCTGGAACATGGGCTGGGACAGCAGCATGGTGCAGTCAGGGGCATCAGGGTGTGGGGTGAGTAGGGGAGCCCTGTGGTGGAGGCACTAGGGTATAAAAAGATTGCTACAGCACAGAGTTTCCACACAGGGGTGACAGCCAAGGTTTTCCTCTTTTTTTCCCCCTTTTTACTAACAGTAAAAATACATGTCTGTAAATGTTTTGTTGTCAAGGAAAAGGTCTGTAGATTGTCAGTAAAAAAAATTTATTGAGTTCATAACCCTGGAATAGAGTTTAAGGAGGATACAATTCTCATGACATTTAAATCAATGATAGAGCTCCCATCAGATTCAGAAGGAACAGGGTGGAACTTAGCTATATGCTGTTCATACGTATTCAATAAGAATAGAAAATTTAAAGGTAATCAGCATCACTGGGCATGTCTACATGAGCTACCCACTGTGCAATTGTTACTGCGCAGTCATTTAGTACTTGCATAAATACTAAATGACAGCACAATAACTGGTGTTATTTTGCAATATTGTTGCCGCATAGGTTTTGCCCAACACTGCTGTGCAGTAGCAATGAGCTACTGTTCCGTAGCTCATTATTACTGCGCTGTATTGTCACCCATTTTAGACCTAGCAGCGCTACTGCATGGTAGCAATGAGCTATGGCTCAGTAGTTCATTGCTGCTGTGCCATAGCATCCTGTGTAGATGGGATGGAAGTAGCAATTGGTAGAGGGATGTAAACTCTGGTAATATAGTTTCAATAGTCTAGTAGGGAAATGGGGAGAAAAGAAAGTGAAAACTTACAATTCTCTCAATTAGAGATGACCAATCAAAAATGAGGAAAAGAAGGATTTTTTTAGAGATCCTGAAGAAATACAATTTAAAGTTAAGATACTGGAGGTTTGGAAAATATACTAGAGGTTTGGAAAATAAAAGGAAAAATATGGGAGGGATGATTCTTCAGTTTAAACAAAGTGAGGTATAGGCAAAGGGATGATAATGAGATGCTATTTAAGTATAGATACAGGGAGATATTGTGGATACTTTATGCTGAAAGACAGAACAACCAATACATTAATAAGTAAATGGATCCACAGATCAATAAAAGAATAATGTTCTACATAAAAAGACTGGCTTCTTATGAGACATATATGCCCCTGTTCAACTAGACAAAGCTAATGGAGTTCCTAGCCTAATTGAGAAAAGGATAAAGATAAAGAGATAGGAAGTATTAAAGAAATATTAATTTTCCCTTTCTCTCCTTTGAGTTCAAGCAGAACATCACCTACCTGTAAGAGGAGCTGATTTCAAAAGACTTGTGATTTGGTTTAATCTGATTATATGAATAACCTTTAGTGACCAATGGGACCTGATCATTTAGATATCTCCCAGGAATAATTAGTGGAAACAATTCAATGACTCATTAAATTTTGTTTATTCTTCCATGCATTGGCCTACATGAGATGTTGATGAGATGCTGACTGTGCAGTCATTACTATGCAGTCATTTAGTAATTGTATAAATGAGTACTACATGATTGTGCAGTAACTCCTGTTACTGCACAGTTGTGCTGAGGAACGGCTTTTTTGTGACACTGACTGCATAGTAGCTTGTGACTACTGTATGTGAATAGACTGTTTGTGACTACTGCTTCCTGCCACACAGTGCTGTAGCAAGGTGTGGGGGGTGGGGGTGAGTGGGGTGACTGCCCCAGGTGCCGAAGCAAAGGGGGCACTGAAAGGTGCTGCCCAGCCAGGTCAGGATGCGGGAAAGCCCTGAGCGGCTCATTTGGGGAGCGTGGGGATGAGGGGAGGGCAGCTCCTGCCGCTGCATGCATTCCTGACAAGCATGACGGGGGGCGGGGAGGCATGTGCCCCCCAGATCTGTGCATGGAGTGAAGGTGGGCTGCCACTTTGGGCTTTACCCCGGGTGCAAAACTTTGGCGCTTCAGTACTGCTGCCATGTGATGCTATTATGCAATAGTCACGGGCTACTGCACAGTCAGCATCTCATGTACACATGACCATTGAGACTGCATGCAGTAAATCTTGTGGATAAGTAATCTGTCAAAAAAGTAAAGTTGGGGGAAGGTTTTGGATGGGAAATTGCACAAGTTAAGTTCTTTGAACTTTACCAGTGTTATTAAGGTATTTTTCCCTATATAAATTTGCACTTTTCTTCCTTTGAGGTAGGCTAGAACTGGAAGGTGTTTCCTTCCCATGTTAAGAAAGATGCCTAAATCCTTGGGAAACATAAGATTTAAGGTATGTGGACATCCTTTGTGTTTCTTTATATGGGGAACACTGTCTCTACTTCTGCACTGTATTTAGAATCTTAACACCTAACTCAGGGTTCTGCATTTCACTACTGAGGACAAGGAATCTCCAGTTTCCCTTTGGTAATCTACTTGACAGTTTTTTAGTCATTCAAGTAGCATTTTTAATACCTTCATACAGTTAGGGATTCTTTTTCCTGGCTGCATGGATACATAGGTGAGTGCATGGATTATTTGTGCACATTAAGCATCAACAGTAGGCTATTTACTGGCTGGGCACATACCCAGCTATGTGTGTGCACCCCTTGTGAGTGTACATTGGTAAAGCCTGAAGATGTAGGCAGCCTAAAATTTGTATCTAGGAAGTGTTATGTTGAGGAGGCCCTTCCCATGTTTATCCCCAATGATTCATTAGTTACAGCACTTGCTAAGGGAGCTGCAGACCAAGGTTCTAGGTGTCCAGCCTAATGCTCTAGCTACCACTTGTCAGGTCCATCTCTGGAACTCCTTTTGAAGGTGGCTTTCTGGGCAGGCAGGTGAGAGCAGGCCAGGTGGAAGCAAGAAGCTCTGAGTGTTCATGGCTCAGTGAGATGGTTGTTGCCATGGAAGGCTGGGCTATTGGTTCTAGCCTGGAGGCTTAGACCCAATGTATTAAAAAATCTTCCCCCCCTTTTTTTATTCCAGCTTTGCTTTTTTTTGCTTTTTTTTTTCACTTTCACAATTACTATTTCATATAAGGGGCAGTGTCTCATCTTCAGACAGCTCTGATTGAAATTATGTGCAATCCTTGGCCCTCCAGGGTTGTACTACAACTACTACTATTTATTGTTATTTTTATGTCTTTGGAAGAGTCATGAAAAATAAATGGGATGGCTCTTGCTCATATTAGAAACACTTGGTCCTATTTGATTCCATTTGAGATAGATAAGATCTAAGAATGTATGTCTACATGAGCCATGTCTACATGAGTAGAGGAGTATATAAGCAAGTACTAAATGACTGCACAGTAACAGGTGTTACTGTACACTACTGTTGTTACACGGTTTGGGGGTTTTTGATGCTACTGCATGGTGGCTTGTTACTACTGAGCAGTATCGTTGCTGCATAGCTAGTGCCAGGCAACATTACTGCACAGTAGCAATGAGCGTTTTGCTACTGCACA